TGCATCACCAGCAATAATATAGATTCTACAGATAAAATTCTGCTTTTACTGACTCCTTCTCAAACCTTTGCACTGTTTGCAAATTCTATCAATGGTTCCACCTGTGCCACCCCCACTGTCTTTAATGAGGTTGCAATCATGTAACAAACAGTAAAAATTGGCCTGTATACGGAATTTCATTTTAATTATTCTATTAATGATGAATTAGCTACAAAAGAAGAGAATCCAGATCTCACGCACACCCTTGTGTTGATTCTGCAGTATTAGGAGGAGTAAAAGCTCTTCTGTCACTGAAGTAAGCAGATATGACTGAATACACACAGGGAGTAGAAGAGGTCATTTTTACACAGCAACTTTTCAAACTGTTTTAAGTATGTATGCCTGGACCCCCAGAGGTATTTGGGCCTCTAGAAAATCACTGGAACCACCATAAAATCCACAAAGGCTAAGTTAGATGCCTAGGTTCCCTATACAATGCATGGGGAGAGATACACTCCTAAGTATGCAATTCACAAAACCCAGCATTCTAGGTGGCTCCCCCATAAGTTAGCCAATGTGAGATATAGAGAGGGGTGTGCCTAAGCCCTATCCCTCTCACAGAGATAGGTACCTAAGTCTGGACTGTAGGGAAGTGTCTATAATCCACAACTGGGAACCCCTTTGTGGAGTTGGGCACCTAATTTGTTTCTTATGTGAATGAGTTAGGCACCTGACTCACTCCACAAAAAAACAGCAGAAGGAAGAGGAGTTGGTGGTGCCGCCCATCTTGTAACGTTTAGCTCAGTGGTTGGAGCACTCGCCTGGGATGTGAGAGAGACATATTAAATTTCCCTTCTGCCTGGTGGGGAATAAGTTCTTGAACCGGGGACTCCCACATCTCTCAGGAAAGTGCTCCAACCACTGAGCTATGCGATATAATAATGGGGGGGGGCCTCTTTCCGCCTCTCCTACCTAAGCTATTCCACTTTCATGAGTCATTGGAGCCCCTGGGTCTCCCACCTTCCATGTGAGTGCCCTATCCACCAGGCTATAGAGTCATTCTCGGTCTCTGATGCAGGGATTCTAATTTCTACACAGTGGAACAGCTTCAACAGGAGAGACTGCAGGAGCTCCTCATCAGAATATCACATAGCTTATTGGTTAGTGCACTCTCCTGAGAAGTGTAGAAGACCCTTCTTCAAATCCTTTCTCCTCTTCTGGCAGAGGGGGGAATGGAACCTGAGTCTCCCACATCCCAGGTGAGTGCTTGAACCACTGGACTAAAATTTATAAGGTGGGCAGTACCACCTCCATCCATCATTTGAATGGGACCTGATGTAGTAGGCAGCCTCTGAGTACACCTACTGGATCAGGCCCCACATGCGAGATAGGTGGAGAGTGTGAGGCTGGCAGACCAGGTGCCAGCTCATGAGAGAGCCCCAGACCAATTCACTTGTGTATTAGTATAGATCAAAGTGATTATTAAATGTATAAGACTGTATTTGATGTTTAAACTTCATGAAAAGTTGGGATGTTACTTGCACTGTTTTCACTTCTCTGTATCCCATTATAATGTAGTAGAAAATATTTACATTGTGTATACCACTGTAACTAAATAACGCATCAAATGGGAAAGCAGCCATGTGGAATGTGAATGAAGGACTTTAACAGAAAAGTACTAATTTCAAAGTAAGAGGTCATTGTGTGTGATGATCGGAGGTCAAAGACTCAAAATGCATTTCTCACTCTCCATCATCAAAGAAAAAGCCCACGTGGGTAGTGACACTGTCATCTTGTTTTCTGTGAGAAGAAGCTATAAGCATAGGTGCCGACTTCCTCCCTGCCCCATGGGTGCTCGACCCCCCCACCCCGTCCCTGCCCCTGCCCCAACTTTGCCCCACCCCAATTCCATCCCCTTCTCCCAAGTCCCCCCCACCTCGCCTCTTTACCGCCTCCTCCCCGAGCGCACCACGTCCCCACTCCTCCCGGAAAGTCCTAAGCGCTGCCAAACAGCTGTTAGGCGGCAGGCCGGAAGCGCTGGGAGGGGTAGGAGCGGGGACGCTGCGCTCGGAAGAGGAGGGGGTGGGGGCGGGAGATGCTTGGGTGACGATGGGTGCGGAGCACCCACTAATTTTTCCCCATGGGTGCTCCAGCCCAGCAGCACCTATGGAGTTGGCACCTATGGCTATAAGTATGGATTTAAGGAAATATCTTGCATCTCTAGATTGTTTGAACACTTACAGGAAAGTGTACCAGATGCAAAGCAGAGAGCCCCAGAGACAATCTGGCAACCCTGAAAAGACTTTTGGGAAACTGGCAGTTTACTACATCATTGCCACCATTTGGAATTACAAATGGTGATATAACTGTGCATATATTTTACCTGCTTTGACTTCTCAATAATTTGCATTTCCTTTTCTTAGCTAATAAACCTTTAGTTAGTTTATTATAGAACTGGCTGCCAGCGTTGTCTTTGGTGTAAGATCTAAGATACCAATTGATTTGGGGTAAGTGACTGGTCTCTTGAGACTGGAAGCAACTTAAATGTGATGTGATTTTTGGTGCAAGTGACCTTTTATCACAAAGTCCAGTTTGTCTGGGTGGCAAGATAGATTAGAGAGCCTAAGGGGACTGTCTGTGACTCCATGGTAAGACTGATATAGCGATCCAAGAGTTCACATTTGTTACTGGCTTGGTGAAATCTAATTATAGAACAAAGCACCAGTTTGGGGTGTCTGCCGTGTTTTATGACAGTCTGCCCTGAGGTAGGCACTCATAGTCATGAGCCATTCCAGACAGCGTGACAGAGAGAATGCCTATCTTCTTCCAGTTCATGGATTGCTCTGGAGCCTAGATGGAAGACAGTCATCCAGACACCAGATGCTGTAATTAGACACTCATGGCTGGCTCATGCCAGCTGACTTGGGCTTGCAGGTCTCAGGCTATGGGGCTGTTTGGCAGTGTTGACATTTGGGCTTGGCCTGCAGCCTGAACTCTGGGACTCTCCCACCTCGCAGGGTCCTACAACTTGGGCTCCAGCCCAAGCCCAAACATCTCCAGCGCAATTAAACAGCCCCTTAGTCCAAGCCCTATGAGTCCAAGTCCGCCAGCAGCAGGTTTTTAATTGCAGTGTAGATAGAGCAGTGGTTCTCAACCTATTTACCATTGTGGGCTGCATATGTGGCCCACAATGTGTTATGGGGGCAGCATCCAATAATACCTGTATGTCCCTGAGAATGTCACATGAGCTGCAGCTGTGTGTTGATTGGGCTCCAAGTGGGCCATGGGTTGAGAACCACTGCCCTAGAGTGAGGCAGCAGTGCAATGCTCAGAAGCAGAATCTTAGGCACCTTTCACCCTGAAAATATAGGCACTAAGTGAATTTAGATCTATAGGGTTAGGTGGAAGCAGAGCAGGGGGTTTGTAGATCACAGGGGAGCCTGAACTGATGTTTAGGTGCCTAAGTACCTTTGTGAAGCTGGGGTGTAATGACTAGAGGACCACGATATACCATCAGTTTTTAAGCAGAAATTCCCCCTGCTGTTATTGACAAATATGGCTTAAAACTCAAGGCACAATCTGGCTGAGAATGAAGGCAGTAATAAACAAGACTATTGTTGTCCAAAGAGAAACTCTGCTAAGCTGCTCTTCACTCTTAAAATGTAACCGTTTTAATGCAAATGTGGATTTTGTTTTAAACTATTTATCATCATAATGTATGTAATCCACATCATAGCGCAAGAAACTAGCAGAATATAAAGATGTCCCCAAAATCTTCTGAGTGGCCAATGGTTAGATATTGAACAGTATATTAGAACATAAACATTTTAAAATGTATTTTAATATGGAGAAATTAATACTTCATCTTTGTTGAAGGTGATAACCTGCTAATCACCAGTACTCTTTAGAAACCAAATGAGTGACTGAAAGAGTTACTATATCTATTAGGTATCAGAGGGGTAGCCGTGTTAGTCTGTATCCACAAAAACAATGAGGAGTCCGGTGGCACCTTAAAGACTAACAGTGCCCAAATAAATCTGTTAGTCTTTAAGGTGCCACCGGACTCCTCATTTTTATATCTATTAGATTACTTGATTGTGTTGTTTTATTTGTTAATAATTGAATTAAACTATTCTGAGTCTAAGGGTACATCTATACTTACCTCCGGGTCCGGCGGTAAGCAATCGATCTTCTGCGATCGATCCCGGAAGTGCTTGCCGTCGACGCCGGTACTCCTGCTCCGCAAGAGGAGTACACGGAGTCGACGGGGGAGCCTGCCTGCCGCGTGTGGACCCGCGGTAAGTTCGAACTAAGATACTTCGACTTCAGCTACGTTATACACGTAGCTGAAGTTGCGTATCTTAGTTCAAAGTGGGGGGTTAGTGTGGACCAGCCCTAAATGGAGGACTTTAATCACCAAGATTTGTCAATCCCCACCCCTTCTCACGAGAACTAATTTCACATGATAGTTTTTGTAAAAAAGAAAAACATTTAAACATAAAATAAGTCTAATTGATATTAAAAGTGAAATAAGAACTAAGTCAACTTGATTAAAGATATTTTCTTGTAGTAACCTCAAGCTAGTGAATTATTTAAGTTACCACACACTAACAGTCTCCAGGAAATAAATTTGGTGCTCCTCTCCAGGGCCAGTACTTCAAATTAATGAACTACTTTATTCAATCCCACACCAAAAACTAAGTGTGAAGGTGGCCCAATACCTTTTCCTCTAACTCAACCGGTAGAAAGCATGGACATGGGTCACTTGGGTCAGGTCATTCATTACCTCTCCCCCCCCCCCAAACGCCTCAATTACACCATATCAACTTCACCCACTCCGACTGTCCCACCCACACCACACACCCCTCAAATTTATCCACAGCCAGCACCCTTGTCAGACTCCTTGGCACCCATAAAACCCAACCTCCCCGTTCCCTGACCCTCACAGCAAGTATTCCTCCTCATGCTCCCCAGGACCCCCACAGCCGCCCTCTCAAGCTTTCCATCCCCCCAGCACCCACCACGGCAGCCAGACGCCCCCTTGCCGCTCCCCCGCCGGGGGGCAGCGCCTTGCCTTGCGGAGACGCCTGTGTTCCTGTCGCAGGGCCGTGGCGCTGTGCTGGGGAGAAAGCCTGGCGGCGGGGGTGGGACAGGGGCTAGTCCGCTTCCCAGCCCCAGCCCGGGCAGGCCCGACTGTGTTTACCCGCCTCTCCAAGTAACCGGCGGCTGCGGGCCCGTCCCCATAGCAACCCCGCCGGCAACGCCAGCCAGCAGAGCCGGCAGCAGAGGCGCCAGAGCCGGAGCGGGGCAAGGTACCGGGGCGGAAAGCGGGTGGAGGGGACTCCTGTGGTCCTGCCGCTGCGAGCGGTGTGCAGGGGCTCAGCCCCCACGGGAGTGAGGGGGCCCAGCCAGGTCTGACCCCCGCCCCGCAATGGGGAAGCCTCCCCCAATGAGTGAGAGGCCCAGGGCGGTCTGACCCTCTGTGCCATAATGAGGGAGCCTCCCTCTAGTGAATGAGGGGGGCCAGGGCTGGTCTGACCCCCTAATCCACAATGGGGGGGGGGTGGTCTCACACGCAGTGAATGAGAGATCTTAGAAACGAGCTGTTCTCCATGCCCCAAAGTGTAGGAGCCTCCCTCTGCATGTCCCCAGTGAGAGAAGACACTTAGGTCTCTATTGACTCATATGGCTCCCATCCCCCCCTCCTCAGTAGGTGTGGGGGCTTGTGGCGCAGCAGACACAGCCTCACATTATCCTCTTATTTCTACACTTAAATTAAATGAAGAGTTGGCAATGTTTACCTGCCCTCTGCGATCCTCCAGTTCTCATAAAGTTGCCTAGCATTAGCTGTAAGTAGGGTGTCACCTGCCTACATTTTCCCAGCACCGTCCCTTTTTTGAGGTGGCTGTCCTGGGAAGTATCTGAGGGTGTTCAGTACACACTGCCAGCTGTCCAGTTTTATGGGCTCAGGATCATCCTGGATGTTCTGGGTTTTTATACTTGAGATGAGGCAACCCATGTTGTAAGATGCCCCTTCATTTTCTGATTTTTACTGAAAAAAATCCAAGTTTTACAAAAAATATTATTTGTTTTTTTTCCGATTTTCACCCTACTTTTGTATCATTCAAATATAGAGAAAATAATTTGTTTTATTAGGAAAATTCAATACATTGCATGAGATATATGTATTACGATAATATATTTGGGTGTATATGCAAAGCTGTCTGTTGAAGTAAGGCTATGTATTAGTCTAGACCAGTGGTTATCAAAGCCAGTCTGCCGCTTGTTCAGAGAAAGCCCCTGGCGGTCCGGGCCGGTTTGTTTACCTGCTGCATCCGCAGATTCGGCTGATTGCGACTCCCTGTGCTGGCCGCCCTTCCTGCAGCCCCCATTGGCCTGGAGTGGTGAACCGCAGCCAGTGGGAGCCGCTATCGGCCAAACCTGCGGACACGGCCAGTAAACAAACTGTCCCAGCCCGCCAGGGGCTTTCCCTGAACAAGCGGCGGACCCGCTTTGAGAACCACTGGTCTAGAAGATACACACAATAAACAAACTGGCCTGCACGCAAGCTCTGAAGTGCGTGCGCATCTGAACGTAATGATTAATCTCATGCCCACCACGTAGACATTTCAAGTTGTTAGCAGATAACGGTTTAAAGATTTGACACACTAAAATGGGAAGAAAATAAAAATCTGTATCAGAATACATTTCAGAACACAAAGAAGTATTCAAAAGTTTAAAAAAAACAGGAGAAAAGGATGAAGTTGAGTGTATGCTCTGAACATGGTGTGGTAGCTAAAAGTTCTAAGGCTACAACTGTAAACTGTTTATTCAAATGAAAATTTTTATTTGGGGATTAGACCTAATTGTTTTCTTGCACTCAGAGGTGGCATTGTGTTTTGAGTTCTGTTTTAGTTCTGCAGCAAACCACACTGAATTCCATTCATCAAAGCATTAATCTACTGAATACTTTTTTCTACTGAATACTCTGTCCTTCCATCCACCAAAATGAACTGTGATATTTACCCAGCAAAATTATTAATAGTTTTTTGCACTGATTTTCACCTGTTTTTGTTTTTGTAGTAATATCAACCAGGCAAAATTAAAATAAAAACTGAAAGCAAAGGATCCTAAAGATGACAAAAAAAATAATCTCTTAATCCCATTGCAAACAGAACAGAACCTATTTGCTTTGCACTTTTTGAAATGTTATTAGTATGGTTAATTAACAGAAGTATAAATTGCATTTTCCCCAAGTAGCCTCATTCTTTTTAATATAACATTAGCAAGCCTATTCCCCGCATGGCTGGTGCAGCTCCATTGAATTAACTGAATCAGGCCCAAAGATGCTTATTGCTAACTATTAAGTCTACAGATGTATTCTTTTAATAGTTTGGGATCTTAAATATATTTAAAGAATAAACTATTTATTTGCTAAGGCACACATCATTGATATTAGCTGAAACCATGGGAGTGGCACTGACAAGAGCAGCTCAATGGACCTCGGCTGGTTCTGGAACTGGCACACTAGAAATCACCCCTTTGAATGAATCTCTTCTAAATGACATAATTAAGTTTGCAGAGAGCTTCAGCTCTAGACATCCTCAAGAAGCTGCATTTGTCTTCAGAGAACCACTTGAATGGAAAACACAATTGGATTATTCAGTATTTGAATTAGGTTATGAGATCAGGTAGGTCTGAATGGCAGTGCTTTTTAAACATATTAAAGACGAACTGCAAAGAAAAAAAATTGTGCTAATTTTGTATAAGGAATGTTTGCTCTTTTTATTGTATTTGTTTTCTCCTAGTTTGTTACATTGGACATTTTGTATTCTGATTTATAACTTTTCCCCAAAGGACTCTGAAAATATTTGTAGTACCTAGATTGTGACGTCACAGCTGTGTGTTGAAATCTAATCTCCAGTTTCTTACTGAAGTGGGGCGAATATATTTGCCTGTCTATTCTAGGAATTTTCACACCCTATGTCTAGTGCTGGTGCAGACCTGCCAGTGCCAGCAATGAAGGAGGCACTAGTGTAGGCCAGGCACAGGTGTTTTACACACTGTGAGTATGTCTAGACACCTGCGGCTGGCCCAGGCCAGCTGACTTGGGCTAATGGGGCTCAGACTGCAGGGCTGTTTCACTGCTCTGTAGACTTTTGGGTTCAGGCTGGAGCATGTGCTCTAGCACCCTGCAAGGTGGGAGGGCCCCAGAGCCCGAGCCCCATGAGTCTGAGTCGGGATAGCACAGGTCAGCCGCGGGTGTCTAGTTGCTGTATAGACATACCCTGAGTCACCTTACCTTGAAATGAGATGCAAAAAAACAATGCAAAAAAGTCCTATGTAGTTATACCCATTGAGTCTTAGGTCCTGTCCGCAGTGTAATTATAGCTGTATTGGTGCACCCAGTTACAACATCGTTGAGTCAAGTCATGTTAAAGGAACTGTGCTACAGCTTTGAAAAGAGAAGGGCAGTTACACTTTTTTGGAATAAATTGATAAATTAAACAGCAGTATGTCAGATAGTATTCACCCAAGATTTCTGAAGGAACTCAGACATGAAATTGCAGCACTACTAACTGGTATGTAACCTACTGCTTAAATCAGCCTCTATACCAGATAACTGAAAGATAGCTAATGTAACACCTCTTTTTTAAAAAGCTTCCAGAGGCAATCCTGACATGCTGAAGTTATACCTAACTTCAGCATGAGGCAAATTGGTTGAAACTACAGTAAAGAACAGAATTATCAGACACATAGATAAACATTCCTTTTATAAAGGAAAATCATGCCCCATCAATCTATGAGAATTCTCTGAGTGGGTCCACAAGCATGTGAACAAAGGTGATCCAGTGAATATAGTATACTTGGACTTTCAGAAAGCTTTTGACAAGGTCCCTCACCAAAGGCTATTAAGCAAAGTAAGCAGTCATGGGATAAGAGGGAAGGTCCTCTCATGGATTGGTAACTGGTTAAAAGATAGGAAACAAAGGGTAGGAATAAATGGTCAGTTTTAACAATAGAGAGAGGTAAATAGTGGGATCCCCCAAAGAGCTGTATTGGGACTTGTGCTGTTCAACATATTCATAAACAATCTTGAAAAGGGGGTGAACAATGAGGTGGCAAAGTTTGCAGATGTTACCCAAAATTACTCGAGATAGTTAAGGCCGAAGCTGACCGGGAAGAGTTACAAAGGAATTTCACAAAACTGAGTGAGTGGACAACAGAATGGCAGATGAAATTCAGAGTTGCTAAGTGCAAAGTTGTGCACATTGGAAAAAATAATCTCAACTATACATACAAAATGATGGATCTAAATTAGCTGTTACCACTCGAGAAAGATTTAGGAGTCACTGTGGATATTTTTTTTGAAAACATCCATTCAATGTCCAGTGGCAGACAGAAGTTAGAAACTATTAGGAAAGGGATAGATAATAAAGCAGAAATATCATAATACCACTATATAAATCTGTGGTATGCCCACACCTTGAATACTGCATGCAATTTGGGTTACCCCAAATGAAAAAAGGTATAGTAGAATTGGAAAAGGTCCAGAGAAGGGCAGTGAAAATGATGAGGGGTATGGAACAGCTTCCATGAGATGAGATTTTAAAAAGACTAGGACTCTTTAGAGTAGAAAAGAGACGACTAAGGGGGGTATATGATATGATAGTGATCTATGAAATCATGAATGGTATGGAAAAAGTGAATAGGGAAGTGTTATTTACTCCTTCATATAACACCAAGGACTAGGGGTCACCTGATGAAATTAATAGGCATAAGGTTTAAAATGAACAAAAGGAAGTATTCACACAACACACAATCAACCTGTGGAACTCATTGCCAAGGTATGTTATGAGGCCAAAAGTATAATTGGGTTAAAAAAAGAAATAGGTACGTTCATGGAAGATAGGTCCATCATCAGCCAAGAAGGTCCGGGACACAACTCGATGCTCTGGGTGTCTGTCAACCTCCAACTGCCAGAAGATGGGACTGGATGACAGTTGTAATGACCCTATTCTGTTCATTCCCTCTGAAGCATCTGGCACTGGCCATTGTCGGAAGACTGGATATTAGGCTAGATGGACCATTGGTCTGACGCAATATGGCTGTTCTTATATTCTTATGTGTATTTCTGTTGTCAGCTGTAAT